AGTGAGAGCCAAAAACACCCCTATGTTGGGGTAGGGTTTCCCTGTCCTATTTTGTCAGGAGCTAGGGTTTCACTACGCACGCAGCGGTTTCACATAACCTACAATCGGGTAAACAACCTGTCTTAGCTTGGAATGGTCACTATGGATTCCGAATATGCACTAGGTCGAATGGTCAAAAAGGGTGCCCCGGTAAAAACTGGGGTTTGTGCTCCCATCGTGGCAGAGCCCGTAACCGGTCAGCCTTATGGCACGCTTCTCAAAGCGAGCCTCCGAAAAAATGTTCAGGAATAGCAGATGGCAAACACAGTGTCCTAGGCACACCAATGCAAATGCAATGCAAAGAGACACATAAGTGTAATCAAAACAAGATATCATGAGTTCGAGTCAAGTACTCTAGCTCCCCAGCGGAGTCGCCAGAAACTGTAGACGTCCCCGAACGTCCCGGGAGGAAATCTCGTTTTGTTCATTGGGGCTTACTACAGTTTGGACACAATGTCACGGTCCTGTATCTAATCTAGCGGAGTGCAATGCAAGACCGACGAATCACCAAAGAGTCCAAATTCGGCAAACCGTTTTGAAAAACTGATTTTTAGAAAGAAGTGCCAAACATGGACTGCTTTGCCAAATACAGAGTCGCCACCTAAATATTTTATTTCGGAGGAATTTAGGAAACCTTGACTCATGCCTAAGGCCACGTGTCCGTCATCACCAAAGTTGACTCAGCTCGGTAACTTGGGTACGATTGAAGAAGGTCACTTCGTGAGCACCCCTGCTCGCCCGATCAAAGATCGGCCTCTACTAACCATGATATTGAGTTTTGAAAATATTATGTGCTCTTCTTCCGGTTATTAGCCTAGAATTACTATGTGATGCACACAACATACAAGTATAGACTGGATCGTTTGAGTTGGAACAAAACATTTCATGTTTGTTTATTTGAAAGATGGTTTGATGGTACTACTCGCAAGTAGGCTAAGACATAGATTTGCCACCCTCAAGTGGGCTTAGGAAAACATGATTTTGCCACTCTCAAGTGGGCTTAAAACTCTCAATTGGTGAATAGTTCCAATTCAAATAACCCAACCTTCACCCACAAGCATTCAGGCAGTTATATCACATAAGCACATAGCCTCATGGTAAGTATGCTATCATGGCAGTCACTTACACACATGCAAGGATGCTAAAGCATAAACACTTACCGAGTACTCCGAGCCAAAGAAAGAAGCTAATTAGAAATCATGCATGAATCCTAACTATGCTAAGAATGCCTAATGCAACACATGCAATATGCAACTAAGATAGGCTCGGCTATTCTAAGGTGGCATATGAGATGCAACAATCGATACATGTATTCAACTTGGAATTGAAATACAATGCAGTTAGCATGATGCGCCGAGCCCGGTGCATGCAATACAGATGAATGAATGCAAACATACGAACATATAAATGCTAATTGAAACATGCCCTAAAACTAACCATCATAAGCTGGTAAATAAAAGGGAGAAAGACGTGAGATTGGAAGACATACATCACACACACGCGCACTTATTACAACATTGCCCTCCTCGAAGGTCCGAATAAATGATACACAACCGAATGAATAACGAATTACAGCTAATTATTACACAATCCTAATTAATTAACAAACTAATTAAAATAAATAAGCTAGCATGCAAAACATATGAAATGGACTGCCTCAGCTCGGTCTTGAATGACTATGAATGCATGCATGCTCGAGTCGCCTTGCTAAGAAATCCATCGCGACGCCCCGATTTGCCTCTGTTTGCAATTGGTCCCAGAACACTGTACAAAACTCCAGAAGGCTGAAACTCCACCATGCTGTGGGGATACTACCGACCAGCTTTTGCTGCTGGCTTCCGGTTTGCTGCAACAGAGAGCAAGAAAGGGGCATGGCAAAGTATTTTCAACATATGTGTGCACGACCACTCTCCCCGTCATTGCATAAGCTCTAGGGACTGTAGTCCTCGATCCTCGTGCCACCAATCACACATCTCGATGCATGATGGCCGAGGAGTCAGATTGTACGACTCGATGTAAAATGAATGCACATATAAACACAACAAGGCCTAAACTCTATTATGGGTAATCCGGAGTGTCGGCAACCGAGAATCGAGACACGTTTCGTCACTCGGAGTACGAAACGTCCCTCGTTTCCAGTATTTGGACTAAACCCTATTCCAAACACAATGCAATATACATGGCATACACAATACAACTAGCATGCAACCTAAACATAATACCACTAAATGATGCAAACATGCTACTAGCATACACAATGCTATGCAATAATCAATGGCATACTCAATGCACATGGAAACTATACGGCATACGCAATGCACACATGGAGACTAACAATGAAATGATCAAGGCATACACAATGCAATGGTCAATCATGCAACAACATGGACTAAATGGCATAAACAATGCAAGATGGACTTAAACCAAGATAGGCGAGCCTTAGCCACACCCAAATCAGTGGCCATACATGATGAAATTAAGGCAACAACACTTATGCAAACATGCACAATACAAGGGACCAAACCTAAGGCACCAAATGCAACTCTACCAAAGCATGGCAAGGGATGAAATATGGCATACAATCACACATTTTTTAGCTCTGAAATGACATGCAAGATGGTCCCGAATCATGTAAACACCTCGCACAATGCATGCTAGATGGCCCGGATACCGAAACTAGTGAAGTGCATTACACTAGAGGTACACAAAGCAATGCTCAAATGACCTAACCAGCCCCAAACAGTCCCTATGCAGGTCCAAGGCAGTGGGAAAATGGTCTAAAATGATGGCTCAAAATGCATAGAAATGAAGCTCATGCAATGGTCCATAAATGAGGTATTCATGCACAACTCTCAAACACGTTCAAAGAATGGAAAACGTGGGAATATGGCATAAGTATAGGCTCTGAAATGACATGCTCAATGGCCCCAAAACATGAAAACACCTCAGTATAAGCATGCAATAGGCTTCAAAACTCAAGGCTAGGCAAGGGTAATACACTACAACCATACATAGGAAGCATCATTTGACCATGAGGCATAAAAATAGAGCTAAGGCAGTCCAAAATATGCACAAAATCAACTTAAGGCATGGCCAAAAAGTGCTAGAATCAAAGACCAAAATAGTATGCAATACAAGCTAGTGAAGAGGGTTTACACTACAAGTATATGAAGCATTCAAGAGGTCACTAAACCAAAAAAATTCAGAGGTATGGCATGCCAAATAAAACCCAAAAACTCATTGAAACATGGTCAATGCATGCAAGAATGACATGCTCCTTTGATAGGCTATGAAGAGGGTTATTCAACACATGCAAGATGGACACCCAATATGGAAAAACAAGCTCCAAAAAGAGCCTATGAAGGTCCTAAAACTCACCAAAAATGGCTTGAAAGATGGCTTGGAAGCATGCAAATAAGGGCTCCTTTGTTAGGCCAAATATGCTAGAAATCAAAGCAAGGAGAGAGAGGGTCACTCCTCTCTAATTTTGGCTCTCAAAAACACCTAATAACCACTTAAAATCTGCTGGATTTCTATGGTCAAAAGGGCAAACAAAGCTCAAAATAAAGGCCTTAATGCATGGTTCAAAACAAGGTGAAATGAAGCATACGAGGGCGTAGATGACCCCCAACAGAAAAATGATCTTAAAAAAACATGTTAAGGACCTCAAAATAAGACTTTTTTCAGTTTACACCAAAGCTCAAAAATTCTTGCAAGTATGGCTAAAAGATGGAGCAAAATAAAACTCAAAAGAGGGAATAGGGTGTTACCCTCGTAGCTCAGCAACTCCAGTAGCTTATGGACCAAAAATGCAGCTCCTTAGGACCTCTCAAGACCCTCCAAGAAGCTTAGGTTGGTGTTGGAGGTGTTAGGCTAAGAGGTAGTGTACAAAAGGGCAAGAACTTAGCACTTTTGGTGCCAAAATAGAGATATAGAGAGGGAGGTATATGTGTATGCCTTAGGGAAATTTTGAACCCTTGCAAGGGAAGAGGAGGCCTTCTTTTATACACAAGAGGGACTAAAGCTTCTCCAAGAAGCTTCAAACCAAGGTGGAAGATACTCCATACACGTGTATGGAGGATCCAGTCTGTGTCTCCCAGCTAGCACAGCTGGAATCAACTCATGAGACAAGACTGGGGGAGGTAGGCTGACCAGTTTAAGTGGTCGGCCAGCCACTTCAGGTGGTCAGCCAGCCTGTTCAAAAGGGTCAACTCAACAAAAAGTGGTCGGCAACCCCATTTGGTGGTCTCCCAACTGAATGCAAGCTAGTGGTGTGCTGGGAGACCAGCAATTGTGGCCCAAAAATGAGGGAGACCAGTTACCTGACAAGAAAATTGGTCGACGGGGGAAAAGTGGTCTCCAAGGAGAAAAGGTGGTCTCCCACCCTTGTACCACCTTCCAAACAATGAAAACAACGTTCATGCCAAAAATGAACCAAGACGGATGCAAAATGAGGGTTCGAGGGTCAAAATGCGCAGCCGGGTGCCCCGAAAACAGGCTGTTAAGCATCGAAAGTGACGTGCGACCATAGAGGTGGTCTCTCGGGCCACAGTGTCCCTCTAGAGAGAGGAAACAAGGTGTGAGCCAAAAACCGTGCCAAATGGAGAAAGTTAAGCGGTCCCGAACCGAGGCGAACGGCTGACGGCTCTGAAAGCCGGAAGCTGGTCTCCAAACGGGAACAGTGGCCTACGACCACGAAAAGTAGCCTACGGCCACTGAGAGATGGTCTATGAGACCTCTCCTTCCCTTCAGGAAAAGAAAACAAGACTTGGTTCGCAAACCGAGGCAAAGCACAAAAGGGTCCTGAAGTCCGGGGGTAAGGCTCTTAGCCGAAACTCTGAAACCTCAGAATGAACACAACATGCACCATCACCGAGCGCTCAATCGATGACGTCTAAATCTTAAGGTCGGTCAAAAATGGGGTGTCTACATGAAGCGAAAGACGAGTTCAAGGTTATGATATGCCTGACATTGCTATGGAGGATGCCTCTTTACCTGATTCTCCTCTTGTCCAGGAAGAGGACCTTTCTCATGCTTTTCCAGGTGGACCGATTGATCCATCAATACTGTGGAGTTTCAATAGTCATGTCGCTACAGCTGTTTGGCACGGGGAGGTAAACATTCCTGAGTAGAAGTGAAATTCATTTGTATATGAATTTTTTTTCTTTTTCTGTGTATGTTGTGTGGTAGTTTGTAATGAGATATTATTTGTGTTATAGGAACGAGGGCCCCTACAATGTCATAATCATTCTTCGAAGATCCTTGCATGGCCATGGTGGTCAGTAGACAACAACACCAGATTCAAAGCCATTATTGAGCAGTCTGGGCTGTCACAGTTAGCTCGTTGCACTTATCGGTTCGTCAACAAGCTTCTAATCTCCAGTTTTGTTGAGAGATGGCAACCTGAGACGAACACATTTCACATGACAGTTGGTGAGATGACCTTGACCCTGGATGATGTTGGCACTATTCTTGGCCTTCCCATTGTAGGCAAATCAATCAGCGTACTAGATGTGACAGATCATCATGGAGTTATACTACTGGTTTATGGCTTGGGGATTATTGAACGTGCAGCACATAAAGAGGTTTCTACTGCTGGTGGCAATTCAGTCAGACTAGAGTGGTTGCGAAGCCAGTTTGCTGGTGTCACAGATTCAGACCCCAAGGAGGCTATACAATGCGCTGCTAGAGCTTATTTGTTGTTTCTGTTGGGATGTACACTCTTCAGTGACAAGAGTGACGGCAGGGTTCCTGTTGTTTACCTTGGCTTATTAATGGATTTGGGATCCATTCATACTTACGCCTAGGGTGCTACTGCATTAGCATTTTTATACAGACAATTGGGGTATGCTAGTCGATCTGGGGTTAAACAGATGGGTGGTTATATGACTCTTTTGGAGGCATGGATTTATGAGCACTTCCGAGCATTTCGACCTCACCAGAACATGGGCTACAATGAAGACACGCCACACATGTACCATTGGGCATCTAGAAGAGAGGCGGGTTCCTTCATTGATCATTTGAAATCTTTTCGAGCTGAGCTTGACAGTTTGGTAGCTACTGATGTATGTTTACTCGTCCTGAGATAATTTTAACACTTTACATTTATCTTACCCTTTATATACTTTAATTCAAAAGCACTTTATGTTTACAGGTTATTTGGGATCCATACCACAGCTGCAGAGACTGGCATCCATGTAACTCGATTACGTTCTACCATGGATGCTTAAAGTGCTTAGACGTTGTCGAACCGTATCATCTAGATAGAGTTCTGAGGCAGTTTGGCAGGGTTCAAACCAGCCCAGATGCACCGCTAGCTCCCAGTCGTGGTGCTCAAGGCAGCATATCTGCACGACATACAGTCATGTATAGATACTTGGATGTGCCTAAAACAAGTCTGTCACAGTCATCGTGGACTCTTCAGACCGATGGCGCTCAATGTAATTATACTTGGCCAATTCACCCAATAAGTGTTGCATCTGTGACTTCCAGCTCTCTGTACCACCCTATTTCGATGGCGTACATTGTAAATGGTTTTAAGTGTGCTTACATTGAGGGCATCTCGCTGTTTCAAGGTTACTATGATTTCTTTTGGCCAAACCATGCTCTTTGACATATCCATTAACAATGCTTTCTCATCCTTTGATAGCCTCCCCGCATATGAATGTCCCTCAAGGTGCTCCGCAGGTGGATGGTTATGCAATCTGCATACTATGGTCAACGTCCATTCACAGATGGGTGGTTATATGACTCTTTTGGAGGCATAGATTTATGAGCACTTCTGAGCATTTCGACCTCACCAGAACATGGGCTACAATGAAGACATGCCACACGTGTACCATTGGGCATCTAGAAGAGAGGCGGGTTCCTTCATTGATCATTTGAAATCTTTTCGAGCCGAGCTTGACAGTTTGGTAGCTACTGATGTAAGTTTACTAGTCCTGAGATAATTTTAACACTTTACATTTATCTTACCCTTTATATACTTTAATTCAAAAGCACTTTATGTTTACAGGTTATTTGGGATCCATACCACAGCTGCAGAGACTGGCATCCATGTAACTCGATTACGTTCTACCATGGATGCTTAAAGTGCTTAGATGTTGTCGAACCCTACCATCCAGATAGAGTTCTGAGGCAGTTTGGTAGGGTTTAAACCATCCCAGATGCACCGCTAGCTCCCAGTCGTGGTGCTCAAGGCAACATATCTGCACGACATACAGTCATGTATAGATACTTGGATGTGCCCAAAACAAGTCTGTCACAGTCATCGTGGACTCTTCAGACCGATGGCGCTCAATGTAATTATACTTGGCCAATTCACCCAATAAGCGTTGCATCTGTGATCTTCCAGCTCTCTGTACCACCCTATTTCGATGGCGTACATTGTAAATGGTTTTAAGTGTGCTTACATTGAGGGCATCTCGCTGTTTCAAGGTTACTATGATTTCTTTTGGCCAAACCATGCTCTTTGACATATCCATTAACAATGCTTTCTCATCCTTTGATAGCCTCCCCGCATATGAATGTCCCTTAAGGTGCTCCACAGGTGGATGATTATGCAATCCGCATACTACGATCAATGTCCATTCATCATGTGTGGTAAACCTGTGAGCCCTCATATCAAAAGGACAACCGCACTTCTTCGTACCGGTTATTCTTGATGTATTGTTGCCATCATGTTTTAACTTCTTTGTCACTCTATATTGGCCATTCCTCTTACAAGCAAGATACATCCTGGGTCTTTTTTCCCTCCACCATAGTCTAATGTTTTGATTACAATGACCAAACCATTTCTCTTTCCAACTTCACGTACCCAGTTGAGCAATTCATCCTTACTTTTGAATACCTACAAAGTCAAATAAATATTATCAAACATTTACATTTGTTGAGAAATTCGAAACAGAATGATTATAATTTCGTAGAGTAAACATGTTCAGTTGTGAATTGAGTAGTGTAATCTAACACAAAATCTATGCAAACCTGACTTCCTTGAGTTGACACATATTCCTACATGTTTTTGTATAACATTACAAATTTTTAATGGCATTATAAAGATTAATTTGCAATTCGAAACTATAAATTTGGTATGCAGTTTGCAAATTTGGAATATAAAATGGGAAATTTTTTTTTTACTTCATTCGGAAGTAGTTTTCCTAATTTATTTTAAAATTTCGGAAGTTGAATGTTGTAACAGTTAACTTATTTCGGACAACAACTTCTGAAATTAAATACTTTGTTCGGACAACAACTTTCGAAATTAATTACTTTGTTCGGACAACAACTTCCAAAAATAAATACTTATTTCGGTACTAGATTTCTGAACAAAATAATATAATTCGACTCTGGTTATCCGAACGACGCTGGAAAAAAAAAATGAAGAGAAACTCACATTTCCTTCTCTATGTTTCTCATAAACATTTATTTGCTGATTTTCAGAAGACAAATCCTCCATAAAAATGATGAATGAGGAAGAAGCTACGAATGAGGAAGGTTGAAGCTACGAATGAGGCAGGTTGAGAAGCTATGAACTTGGACCTTAATGCAAGAAGCTGAACTTGGAGCTTAATGAATGAGTGCTTTCACTTCTAGCTCAATGGAAGAAGCTGAACTTGGAGCTTAATGAATGAGTGCATTCACTTCTAGCTCAATGAACGAAGCTGAACTTGGAGCTTCAACGTGAAGTCTGGATGGATGTGTGCATTGAGACTTTTGAATTGGGTAGATGTCTAAAATAGTAATTACACTTAGGGATAAAATTATAATAAAAATAAATATCATTAAGTGTGTGTATAGAGGGGATTTGGTGTGTGTAGATAGTAGCTCCCCAAAATATGATTCTTCTTATTCACTAATTTTTTCCATATATATATATATTTGCACTAGGACATTTTAAAAGCCTCATTGACATTAGATTTTAACAAGAAGCCTATTATTATTAATTGATTTTTTTTTTTTTTTGGTTGGCTCTAAAACATACAATATCCATGGTGCTAATTATATAATGATAACTAATTGATGCTGTGTGGGTGATTTTCTGACCACACTGTCCACTTAGTAACCAGCTGGAGAGCACTGGCAGAATAGATGGCACCTGGCTAACCTGTAACAAAAAGAGAAGATTCCGGCGGCGGTTTCGACCACCCGAGGGGCACTCCAACGATCAAGTCAGTATATCTCTCAAATATAATGCTAAACTCAATGCTCAAAGCACAAAATTGCGTACCTTAGACCCATGAGGGTGCCTCTCTTTTATAATTACCTTAATCTTAATCCTAATCCTAATAGAAGCCTGACTTCTATGGATTCCTGTTTAGTACTTACTTTGGACTCCTTTAGAGATAAAGATAAACTCCCAAAGAATTTTATCCTTGTCTTGGTTAAGTCTCCTCTCATGCTAGGACTCTTGTCCCTTATCTTTTATCCGATTATTTCGGATTCCGATATTTTCGGAGATGACCTCGGCCTAACCGAGATGACCTCAGCATATCGACCAGGACACGTGGCACCTCGGCTGACACGTCGGTATCACCTTGCTACGTCTTGGCACTCAAAAATATATCCCCATAAATGCTATTCATGTATTCTTAAGAAATATCATAGTTTAAATTTCTTTTAAAAAATTTTAATTATAGTTGATATTAACGAAATATGTAATATAGCTAGATTAAATTAACATAAGAGGCATATTTGTTATGAAATCCATATCATCACTTCCACTTAAGAGGGGAGGAGTTTATTTTGTAAATATTTTTCTCAATTTTTAAAAAATTAACATAAATATATATTTTATATAGTAATCAGTTTAAAGAGTACAAATAAAATTTGTAAAAACTTGTGAAGAGTAAATGAAAACAATGATAAGCTGAAAATATTGAAATAAGTACCCAAAAAAAATATAATAATAATAATTTAGGGAATTGAAATTTAGTTAGACTTTGGGAATCAATATATTAATTATAGGATAAATTACAAATATACTCCAGAGATTTGATTAAAATTCGAATCGTTTTTTATGATTTTGAAAATTACATTCTACTGCCTGAGGATTTTAATTTCATAACAAATCGCCCCTTGTATTAATAAATCATAAAGTCAATTAACAGTTTTTAATGATGTTAAAAATATGTTTTAATTAATAATTTAGGTAATTTTATTATTTATAGGAGAGCAATTATGAATTTTATTTTTTTTAGTTAATTTTGTTAAATAAAAATTTTTAATATGGAGATATTTGTAATTTTTTAAATTATAGGAGGTAATCTATATTTTAAACAACTTTCAAGAGGTATATTTATAATTTACCTTTAATTATATTATTGCATGGGGTGAAATGAAAATTTCATATATTGAAAGAGAGGGGCAGGGGGTACCATACCAGCCTCTTAGTTGCATGGGAACAAGAGATAACAAACCCGACCCATCTTATGGTGCTTTTATTCTTACACACAAAGAATCTATATAATAAACAGTCAAGAATTTTTAAGGGTTGGTTTGGAGTGTCCTAAAAAAGTGTACTTTTTGTCTTTTTACGAAAAGATGTACAGAAAAGTAGAGAGGTGATGTGATGGAAAAAAGATAAAAAGATAAAAAGATGGATTATATAGTGTACTCTAAACCAGCCCTAAATAAGAATCTGTGCTAACTTTAAAAACTTAATTGCATAATTGTTCCACTTAAGTAGATTAGAGATAAAATCATCTTTGGGAAAGAAGATAAAGGATGATCCAATGCGATGCCCAACTTGAAGTAGGACCCAACCATCGAGTTATGTACGAGCTGAGTTATAAACGCGTCGAGTCAAGTC